AAGAAAAAGGAACCAATTTTAGAATAAAAATAAAATAAATATATAATATATATATATGTAATATTATATATATATATACATATATATATATCGAATAAACCGGCTTCAAAAAATGTTATATTGGATTTTTTTTAAGGAAAAGAAAAAAAGATATTCATTTGATATCGAAGCTTTTAGTATTTTCAGTCATTTTGTCATGAAAAATTCTGACTTCAGCTTGACACGTTCTCGTTCAAGTCATAAGTCAATCAATTTACTCTCATGGTCCCAGGCATTCGGCGACGGGAATTATTTCTTTGATATTATGACGACTTCTATTGGTTTAGAGCTATTTACAACCAGTCGTAAATTTCATATCATCAATTACGCGAATATTATACTATTTAGTGAGTCTAATGAATTGTGTAATATAATAATTAATCTTCATTAAAAATCTCAATATTTTCAATGAAGCGGTCGTAATATTTTAGTAGATACTCTATCTTATCCCAGATAAATTTCTAAAATTTCTGTAATCTCGAAATTTTATCGGACGAACTATTACGCGAATTGATAAACAAAAATAATTCACTTAATGTTTTAAAATAGTAATAATCAACCCTTGATCAGAATTTTTTATTTTAAAAAGCGGGGGATAATGGCTCATTCATTAGGGAAGTTTTTTTTTTTACTTGTGAATTCATCAGGAATTAATTCACGCGGGGATAATGTTTTATTCGATGTTAATGCCGCGCTGATATCAGGGAACGTGAAATGTGAGGGGTTAATTAAATTAAGATATAAAGATTGCGCGATTAACCAACGGCTGGGGCGTGAGTGGGGGAAATTCCGGGAAATTCCTGATTCCGTGGGATGATTCCCCCACCCATCAATTTATTGATAATTAAAAATTTAACAAATTAACTAATTATTCAAAAACTTTCGCTGCAACATTGTAAATTAAAATTGCATGAAATAAAAAAAATATATATGATATCGGCCGATCATGTTTTTCATACATGTAAAAATATATTATTTTATTATTAATATATTCAGTAATGAATTAATGATAAATACATAATAAATGCATAAAAAAAGTTGATATATTCCATTAAAAAAAATATAGGAATAAAATAGACATTATGATATCGGCTGATTATATATATATTTTTTATGTACTAAAAATATATTCGAAAGTATATAGAAAGGAGATATTTTATGTATTTATCTGTTATAAATAACGATAATTTAAATATTTGGAATATATTTTCGAAAATATAAATATCATCCTGAGAGCAAGTAAATTCCGCTGACTCTCATTAACTCGTATCGAGTGAGTGCTTACAATCGTGTTAATTAGTATCTTCTGCCGGCGGAGAGTCACGACACCGATTTATACCGAAGTTACTCGGATTTGTTCAATTAGTAATTCAGATGCAATTGCTGGTGAATTGTCCTCATGACCCAGAGGTGATACCTAGGATGTTCGTTTCAGTGGGTGACAGCGACAGGTGTGCGATAGAGATTGCTCAATTAACCTTGGAACTAATTTCTTCACTCCGGGGGACGTATTACGCAAATGTGAGTTTTTTATTTTTTTTTTTTTCCATTTTTTTTTTCACCGCCAGAAAGCTGGAGAACTTCAGTTTTCCTCAGGAGATATTAATTCAGATGGCATTTTCTCGTGCTCAGTCAAGTGGCAATTCTGATGAAATTTACTTGACTTTTTGCGATTGACAGCTGATTATAATTTTTTTTTATTTTTAAATCACGGGATTTTCTGTAACTACCGGAGAATCAAATGAATGACAAGTGGCAGACGTGGAATCTCTATTTTTTTTATCGAGTTATTGAATGGAAAAAATTGTTATTACTATTTGTTATGTATTTTTAAAATTATAAAATACTCGTGGCAATCGTCACTTGCGTCAATCTTTCAAGTCAATTAACGGATTATTAAAGAGTCTATAAACAATGAATGGTGTGACTTCACCGTATTATCAATAATTACATTGTAAATTTGAAGTGCTGGCATTTTTCTATTACAAATTTGCATGAAATTCCCCAACGATTCCCAATTAAAACAATCAATTAATCACTCAATCAATTAGAACACCATCTCCGGAATTTATATTATTTTTACATTTTTCCTTTTTCCTATTACCATTGTTTTCTTACCATGGTTTGATAGGCGCCCCTTCGTCTTAGCCTTTTTTCCGGAATTTATAATTTCCCAGTAAAATGAAAATAAATCGTAAACTACTGAATGAATTAATTAATTAGTCCGTTAAAATGATTGAGTGTCAAAAAACTTCATCAATCTTTCTAAAAAATCTTTAAAAAAAAAAATCAATAAACAACATCCTCAGATATTGGAAGCACTACAAAAAAAAAAGTTGATCGGCTTACGGAAAGTTGTGACACGTGTAAACAGAACCTGAGTCTCGGCTGTTCCTAATCCGTGACACCCTAATACCAGAAAGTATTTTCCTCCTTCTGATACGTCAATGACGAGCTCCAGAGATTCACCAAACACACGTACAACATTTATCGCATGCCCAAGAAATACGAAAAAAAAAAAAAAAAAACCGTACTCGAAATAGTTTTATTCGTACGATTCATTAATTGGACGTTCCATTGAGTGGTATTTTTTTTTTTTTCGGGTGTAAAAAAAACGTGAGACGAAAGGGGTGACGACACTTGTGGCACGCAGACGAGGATGATAAATCGTTGGGACGATTGAGGGAGTGAGAAATTCCCGGAGAGTTATAATAGACGAGTGAATGTTTGAGACAAACACACACACTTCCCGATCTTATTGACCTTGAAGTTGAGAGTGGGACTTTTCCTTCAGCCAATACACGCGCCTCCGATTTACTCATAGATATCTCGATCGTCTCAATATTGATAATCCCAATTTTTGTATTTCAATTGAAAAAGAAAACTAAAAATTTTCCGTACGACGATAAAATTCCCTTTAAGGATCTTCTGCATGTACAGTCAAAACAAAAGTCTACGACCCTTTCTATAATTCGTTATATTTATCGCAATTAATTTTCAATTAATATTTCAATGCGTTAATTAGTTGACGTAATAGAAATAATGAGTATTATATTGTTTAAATAAATGAAACAAAATTCAGTCAATCATAAAATTTTTCCCATTCTTTTATATCTGCATCAATAATAAATTTTCAAAATTCCAACAATTTTTTACATTTTTTTATATTTTGCACTGTATTTACAGAAATTTTTATTTTTCTCATAAAAGGCTGTGTTAATTAAAAACTTTGATAATTAATAACAGCAAATCGGTGTTGTGAATCAATCTCAAATTTTATGGAGGTATCTGTCATCGCTCAAGAATATTATCTCAAAATTTCAAGCAATTCTTATATCTTCGGTAATACGTGCAAAACAATCTTAAGGGTCTTTTACACCCATATATAGTCACAATGACCGTTTTTACATTTTTCTGGTGAAATTACTATGTGATTGGCGTGAGAAACTATAACATTTTTTGCGGCTTGTCATTATTTAATGACTCACCAAGTTTCAAGGTGTTGCGAACATTTTTCTGCGTTTTTTCTGAGCATTTAAAAGGAATCATAAAACTGTAAAGAAAATACATGAAAATGATCGCACCATCGCAAAACCTCTCGAGCTATTAAATAATAATATTTAATTTTTTTACATCAATCTCATCGATAATTTGCCAAATAAATTTTAAAACGTGAGTCTTGACTATGAATGGCCGTGGAACATCCTTAAAGTACTTTATTACGAGTACTTTAGAAATAATTTTAAAGTACCGGCGGAGCTATTCTATCGGATGAGTACTTCTCCAGTTTTTTTGAACAATAAGTGTTGAAAGTACTTAAGCCTAAGTATCGTTAATGTATTTTTCCTTTTAAACTACTCGTGTACTCTTTTGTAACTTTAAATAAAGAGTACTTTTTTCAGTTTATCGACATATCCTATTCTAAAAAGGATAAACATCGAGACTATCGATATCTCGAAAGTCTGTCACGTTTATTCCGTCTGAGGCGGCTAATTTGAATTTTGAACTTATTTAAATTAACAATTTTTAATCGCAATTTTTATTATTACAGCGCGCTGTAGCGCGCCTTCATTTTTCGTATTTAAAAGTAGAACCACAAAAATGAAATTCGCCCGAGTCGAAATATCTCGAAATGCGTAGGACTAATTCCTCATTGGTCAACCCGAACCGGCAAATTCAAATTCGGCGCACGGAATGCGCAGTAGGTCTCTTGAAATAAAAATTCCGGACAATGCAATATTTTGGTCAAGTGTTCACGATTTGAACCTGAACATTCCCCGACAGATTTATAATTTCTCGCCACAATAAATCGGCATTTGTCGCGTCAGAAGATGAAAGAATAACTGAAAATACTAAAAGCTTCGATCCACTGAATCATGAATCAGAGACTTTCATGTTGAATGAATGGAGAGTCTATGCAGAGGAAAACCTCGAAATATCAAAAGAATATAACGATAGCTCAGGCTGAATCGCTTTGAATTCAAAGGAAATCACAATCTTCTATTATTTCCATCAGATTATCTCATTTCGAAAAAATAGTGTCATAAAACAATGAAAAAAAAAAATCAGCAAACAATGATAGCTTTCCTCTCTGACATCAAGTAATTCCCATGCAAAGAATACCTCGATAAACTGTTTTGTCACCAGAGAAACTTTCACTCCCACCATTATCAATGTGTGTGTATTATTTACAATATGTATGTAATGTTGTGTCGATACCCGCGAGATTGTAAATATCACCCATGTAATCTCGCGAGCTTTGCGTCAAACTTGTTAGATCTGTTCACTAATGCACGCAATCTCCTCTTGATGCATGAAGAAAAGAATTGCTGGCCTATTTATGCTATTGCGAAGGCCACAGAGACACTTGTTTAGTCTCAAATCATCAAAGATCAGACCAACCAATCAGACCAACAGCCCAAATCATCTCAAAACGAAAAAAAGAAAAACTTGACACTCACCTCGATTAAAATCCTCCGCAAATGTCCCCGCAATTATCCACTGGTTAATCAACCAAATCACCTCTCAAAGAAAAAAAAAACACACTCCAAGCCAAATCCAAATAAAAAAAAAATCCTCAAGACTCTCTCGAAGAGTCCCACAACATTTTCACACAACGTTGATTATCCATTGACATTAAAATTCGCGTGCACTTCCGATATCCCGAGATAATGCCAACACGTGAGGTACATTTGAATCGTATTTATCCGTTTTATTTACTCCATCTATCCTTGGCCAGCAAATCAGAGTAATTACTCAACTATCACTTATTGGAGATCACACAAGGGCTTGGAATCACTTCCTCAAACCGTATAAAAAAATAAGAAAATAAAAATAAATGAAAAATAACGAGAAGAATCACTTATTTTGACACTTTCACCTTCACTTCCGGTTCCGGTACCTCAGCATTTCACACTGCTAAGTTTAAATACCACTGGGATACATCCATAATCCCTGGATACGATAAAGTTTCAAACAGTTGTTATTTGATTTCCTCCAGCTCTTCTCACACCAACTGACAATTCTGGTGTGAGGGTATGAGTGTTCCCTCCTCTTCTGTTCTGGCTGTTCCCCAGGGTCAGCCGGCTGTATTGGCTCTAGCACTTTTACCCGTTGGTTACTCTCAAGGACTCAACACTCCAAGTCTCTCCTATTCCTTTCTCTTATCCTTTCGCGTTGACTTTTTTCATCAACTACAAAAAGGTATTTTACAAAAATATCCAACACGTTAGGTCTTTACCTCTACCTCATTCCCCAGGTCTCAATATCACGATTCCCACCTCGACCCACCAAAAGCACAATTTTTCATTTCACACGGGGTAAAAAGGGGGGAGGGAAGGGAGAGGGGGGGAAATGAAAAAAAAAAATAATATTAAAAAATTTCACCGTCTCTTCGCGTCACACATCAACGCTGCGGCAACTTTACTTTCCCCACATTGGCTTCCCCACGACCAATTCTTTCTCTTTTCCTCCACACGCACACAAATTCCCCGTTCTCTTTTACCCTATCTCTGTCTTCACCACGTCTCATTCACTTTCAATCTCGTTGTTTCTCACTTGTTGCCACTGCCTCGATTTTGTAATCCCTTTTACGAAACTCTCCTCGAGTCTCCGAAGTAAAAGTCCGGTATAATATCAATGACAAAATCGTTGAGCGATTGAAATGGGAAAGAAGGGACCAGAGATACTTCCGGTGGTACCACTGGATCCACTACCTCATCAGTACACGTGAAAACACGTGATACTGTACCACCAGAGGACTCACTGCTGTATCCATACTGCCCATTTCCCTCCGAAACAATAGATCAACAATCAATGGATAAACATTAATTGTGTAAATGTCAGTTTCCTGGAAGAGATCGACTCCTCGAGGCGATCATCCAAGTGCACCACCTCTGGTCTCCACTGCACTGAAACTACTATTGCAGCTTATCAAACTGTTCTCTATTTTCCACTCTTATTTTACCCCCACCCACTTGCCAAGAGCCTCGCTATTTTTTTCCTTTTTTCTCTATTTCTTTTTTTTTTAATTCTCCTTTTTGTTTTGTCGATGCGTCCTCGTCCTCGACGCGTCGCGCAATGCTATCTTTCTTTCTCGTGTTGTGCGTTGGCTCTCGAGTTACGTTCCGGTTACGCAATGCGGATCATCAACGAGAATTCCACCTCCTCTTATTTTTACAAACGTCAAACGCTTTCTTTCTATTTTATCCACTCAAGGACACCGAGCTTGACACATCACTTGATCCACATAATTATCCACCGGCGATGATGATGATGACGATAGTGGTGGTTGGTGGTGGTGGTGATGATGATGATGATGATGATTTTGTGGATTTGGATTTTCAACGGCGGTCTTATCGCCACTGCTGTTGAATTGAATTTTAACGCGCCCCGTTGTGTTCTCTCTCTCGTAAGTCAGTGGTTTCAACTTTTACTTTCAGCTCTTACACAACAGTAAAACAGGCGCGCAGGCCAAGAAGGAGAGCTAACTGAAGTTAAAACCCGCGTCACAGTTACCCGTTGGCCACTTCTCTTCTCCCCCCGATGCGAATCAACGAGAGACTGAGACCAACTCGGTACCGACAAACCAAAATCCAAACTCAGGTATGAAAATTCATAAGATCCTCCAGGTGTCCCCCAGCCAATAATCCAGAAAATAATTATTCACTTAGTTTCCCTCCACCCCTTTTCTCTCACCACGAATTATCCGATTTTCTGGTTACTCCCAGTGATTTAATTATTCCGAGAATAATGTCGCCCGTTAATTTTCACTTCAATTTAACCACTCGTTAATTATCCATTCCAGGTGATTATACATTTTTTCGGGGATTAAGGGCTACGGCTCTCGCTTTCTAATTCGTAAGCGCTCGTGTTTCAGCTTTCTAGCAATTGCGCATGCGTACTCGCTCGGGCGCAGGCGCACTGGCACTCGTAAAAAAGGCCGGGAATTATTTGAAACACTGGAAATTGAATAATCCAATAGTAATGCTATCGAGTGTTGATCGATTTGTTGTTATGTGGGAGTGATGGGTCCGTGTTGATTATTGTTATTGACAATTTTATTTAGTCTCTTCCGGTATCTGGTGTGTCTTTCACTGGAGCTCACGCTCTGTTAGAGTTTTGCGCAAACGGACCGGGTGAGGACCTCCACTCGCTTCACTCACAACACACTATCCCTCTCGCTCAGTTTTGTCTCCTGGGGTACCTCAGCCAGTACACGTTCATGAAGAGCTTGTGTAGTTGTTAGATGTATTGCTGCAGTGGGTGCGAGTGGGACAGACAAGAGGGAGATGGAGAGTTGTGGAAAAAGAGGTGGAGGTGGCAAAAGAGTAAGCAGCCGCTTGTATTTGTGAGGAAACGATCTCCAATTGTGAAAAACTGATACAAGTGTGGGTTAATCCCTCAGGGGATTTTCAACTGGTGAGTCGTTGGGGGTGGATTGGGCCCCCGGGGGTCAGGGGTTGGCTGAGGGTCAAGGGATTTCTTTTACCCGCCCTCCTTGCTTCGCCAAGGGTTCACAAAAACTCCACGAAATATCTCATTCCCAAGGTTTGACCCACTCTGGTATGAGTGTTGGTGTCAGTGGTGGGGGAATCATGCCCTTCTACTTTAGTCTATGAGTTTACCCCACTCACTACTCATTCTACCACTCCTAGAAGCATTTTGCCACTACCTTGTTACGATGAAAACTCCCACCATTCAATTTTCACACAACCACTCTTGTGTTAAACTCTCATGACTCTCCCTTTCTCTCTCTCGCCACGACGGCAAAACTAGGCTCTCACTATTACATTATGAATAGATACCACTGCCTAGAATCCGAGCGACACGATTCAATGGTTTATGCGTGCGCTTGGAAAATTTTTTTTTCTCTTTTCTTCTTACAACAAAAGAATATCCGAAATTTTTATCTTTTACCAAGAAACATTTTTTTATTGAAATTTTCAGGAAATGAGAGGAAAATTTCAGTGGAAAATATCTCTCTAATTCTGTTCCAAGAAATATTGAAATCTAATATTTATTAACAATCCGTTTTTCATTTGAAAACAATATCTAGTCGTTTGCACATTTTTTTAATGAATTATTAATCAATTATTTGAATAAAAAAATTCCGATGGGGTATTTTCATATTTTCGGGAGGAAGACCGGATTTTTTATTCAGTAAAAATACAAAAGAGAAAAAACAAGTCGTGAGATCCTAAAACTTGGATATTCTCATTCTGCCCTCGATGCGGTAATCCCGACTTGTGGTTTTTCATTCTTCTGTCATTTCCTTCCTCACTCTTCCTTTCTCTCTGCTGTGACACTGGCCCCGTATGTCAAGATGACACTTATCACTCTCACTCTTATTCATGTTTTCTCATTCTATTTCCTCAATGCAGATCAACTCATCGGATTTCTGACGCTCGTTTGATCATTAAAATCGTTGAATAATAATTGTTTAAATTCTAACTAGATGAAAAATACGGCAATTATTTCCTCTTACGAATGTCAAAAAAACAATTACATGTACATACAGACACACATTGTCACCGTCTGTTTTATTTATAACATCTTTCCCCTAATAACTTGATTCGTAGTGAGAAAATTCTCTGGTAAACATAGCCCGGAAATAAATTCCCGAAATAATCTCCCCTTTTGAAATAAAAAATTAGTGATTAGTGGATTGAGAGACATCGAGTGGAGCTAGTCCACTCATTCAAATTCGAATATTTCCGGATCAGAATTTTTTAAACACTTTTTAAAAATTTTGTTCCCACAGAAAAAATGACAGAGAAAATTCCCGGAATTATTTCACCTTCTGCGAACGTAAAGAACAATTACACGAATAAACATTATAAATATATATTTTATTTATTATATCTTTCCAAAATAACTCGATTTTTACCGTAACAATTCACTCTAAAATATTTTGGTTTTTTTCAAAGGACTAAAAATTATTTTTTTTTAAATAATCTAAGATCTAATAAGACGTCTTAAAATTTTCCCGCTGGCGGAAGAATATCCGAAATTTTCATTTTGGAAAGGAAAATTTTTTAATAAAAATTTTCATCGCTAGAAAATTGATGGAATGAGAGGAAAATTTGAGTGGAAAATTGACTTTCGAAAAAAAAGGGCCCATTCTTTTTGTTTTTCGAATATTCAACTTCAAACCGCCATAACTAAATATTTCAGTTTGAATTCAAAATAATTCTAACGGCAATAAAAAATACTCAGAGAAAATAGTTAATATTCAAAGCATGCGATATAATGTGTTAATTGCATGTAACGAGTGAATTATAATTATAAATTACAATTTTCCGTATCTCCCGGGGATATTTTTCGGTGACTTACGGAGGTAAATAAAGATATTAAATAATTAGCACGAGTTGGCGACACGTGGCGCTTACAATAGTCAACTCTCAGTCGTTGTTTTCATCTAGACAAAAATATTTCATAAATATCTCACGCATCAGACCCTATTTTTGTTTGGATATTCCGATAGCCAGAGATTCCCGTTCTTTACAAATTAAATACGATTAATCTAATTTCTCCGGGGATTGGAATAATCTCACGTCCATTGCCCATACACATAATGAAAATTTAGAGCGTTATATACATCTTTATTATTTACTTTATTTACTGTGCGTAAATTTAGCCTGAACTGAATACACGATGCCAAGGAATTCATGGGGAAATGAGGTCGGAAAGTGCGATCTCGACCTCGGCGCATCTTCTCTCTCTCTTTTGTTTATTTATTTGGGTTTTTCTTGGCTTTTTATTTAGTTTCAGGAAGAGAGGAAGGCCTGTGATACAACAGCTGATATCAAAGTTTATCACTCTTCCTTGTACCTAGCATGCTTCAGTGATAACAAGTCGAGTGTGACGAGGTCGATTGTTATCAGAAATGTGCCACTGGATCATTTGGAAAAATTTTTTATTAGAAATTTCATTCTCGTCATTTTTCCATCTTCACAATTACTTTTTTTATCGGGAAAAATTTTTCAATCCTCACCAAAATAATTAATCGCTCGAAGTGAACACAAAAAATAAGTCCCAAATTATCGATAATTGAGAAATTTGAAAAATAGATAAATTGTTCGCAGAAAATGTTGATGGGAAAATAATTAACTGAATAACAATTATGACAATTGTTGTTGTTATCGATTTGCAAGAGGGGAATAATAAATAAATAAAGAAGGCAATACTTTTTTTCTACTTGATTTAGTACATTCTATCAACAAAACAAATTAAATCAAATGACACACTCTACTTTCGCCGGTCATTTTTATCATCCCAATGAGATTAAGATAACAGCGAAAACATTAAATGTCGATGGACTAATATTCAACGAATAACCGGAATATTCTGGAGATAAATAATAATCGGTCAGCCGATTCCCACAGTCACCTGAGACCTCTTTCTCTCTCTCAAAAAAAAAAGGTCAGGTATTTTGGCTGCACATATGCACGCACGTGACTCGAATATCACGGATTAATAAATGACGATTGATTGGCATTTCTCTTTTTCATTTTTTAATAGTCAAACTACATAAACTTCAAAATGCACTTTTCGTGTATTTATAACCCACAAGTTAAGAGTTATAGTCTCGATGTTATTTATTTATTTGCATTACGTGGCTAAATTAAAAGCACCTCGTGGAAGGCCAGTGTGAATTGCGTAATTCATGGACAAGAAAAATCACATACTGTTCCATTACGTTGATTAATCATCGGAAAGCTACTTTTTTTTTTATATTATTCTCATTCATTTCTTGAATTTAGCAAGTGCAAATTTTCTATCTCATTTTTCCGTCGTTTGACGTGATTAATCGTTCATTCATTAATTTTATTGTTAAATTCAAATTTAATTCCCAAAGATAAAGTAAAAATATTTCTTTTTTATTGCAATTCTTTTACATTTTGGGGCCTTATCATAAAATAAGGCCCAAATTTATTTATTTTTGGGCCTCATGTAATTAAAAAAAACGTTGGGCCTTACGATTTTTAAATTTCTCATTAATTTCGACCGACAGCTCTGAAATCAATTCCAATTGTTGTCAAGCATGACAAATCTCAGGTCCCATGAATTCTGGGCCTTATGCCTAACAACGAAATTTCCGAGTGCATCCCCATTTTCAACAAATATGGATCAATAGCCTTGAAGTAGATTACGGAGTCCGACAAATTCTGATGCTCCCGAAATTTTGGGCCTTACCATTGAACATCAACAGGTGAATAAAAAATATCTTCACCTCAGAATGATCGCTTCCATTCCAACATTCCTCGTTACTTCACATCTTTTTTTTAAACTATAAAATAAAGGGAATAACTCCTTTGTTCCCTCCCCCTCGTGGCACTTCCGTTTCCTCCATAACCTCTCCCACCACATCTCCTCACAACTTCCTCCCCCGTTGATATATATTTTTTTTTTTCCAACGATCGCACTTGCACCTTTCTCACAAAACAAGAAGAGACCACCTCGTGTCTAGCCACGCACATCGCATTTTGCCCCTCCATACCCTCTTTTCTCCTCTCTCCGTGGGTAACAACACTCTTATCCTTTCACTCTCGTTTTGCTTGGGGATCCAGTTTTATAAAACCCCCCCAAGTATGTATGAAGGGGCCCTCTGAGACAGAATTATACATACGTTGTACACCACCTCGCATCCGCCTATGTCCTGTCTTTTTTTTTCCTCCGTGTAATTTTTTTTCTTTTTCTTCTTTTTTTTTCAGTTTCTTTTGGCAATCATTCGACGCTTTTATTGCGAATCCGGTTTACCTGGTTGTTATTGTAGGGGGTTGAAAGATCGGGTAAATGGGAGGAGGAGATCGCGTCACGCTATGATACTTCAATGGATATAATGACATTTTGGCGTTTTGAATATTTTGGGAATGGGGGACTGGGGGAGCTTGAGATAAAAATACAGAGGGATTTTTCCTGTGGTTTTTGAGGAACAGATGGTGGACAGGTAACAATTGATCTGAGCTTTTGAGGTGATGTATGGCAGGTTCAATCTGGAGTGGATTTCTTGGGGGGAGAAACCATTCGGTGACATTAACCATTTTTTTTATTACATCAACAGAATGTATTTTCGTAAATACAAAACCTGGTAATTGAAAGTTTTTGGTTAAGAATCTGTTCGTCGTTTTGCAAATAGTTTTGAAAAA